CGAGTGGACTGATCGTTGTGAGACGAGCTTTCAGGAGCTCAAGAGGAGATTAACTTCAGCCCCGGTGTTGACTATTCCCGATCCTTCTCGGAGTTTCACCATCTTCAGTGATGCTTCAAAGCAGGGACTGGGATGTGTACTCATGCAGGACGGCCAGGTTGTTGCCTATGCGTCACGCCAGCTTAAGCCACACGAACAGAACTATCCGACGCACGACTTGGAGTTAGCCGCCGTTGTACATGCTCTCAAGATCTGGCGATATTATCTTTACGGCGGACGTTTCGAGATTTTCACAGATCATAAGAGCCTGCAGTACATCTTCACGTAGAAGGAGTTAAACACGAGACAGCGCCGTTGGCTCGAGCTCGTCAAGGATTACGATTGGTCGATTCAGTATCATCCGGGAAAGGCCAACGTCGTTGCTGACGCCCTAAGCCGAAAGGTGAGGGGTGACTTGACGTACGTAGTTACTCAGCAGAGTCCGTTGATTCAAGAGTTTGCCCGGATGCAGATTCAGGCGGTCGATGCAGTTCCCACTGCCATATCGGGGAGTGTCAGTGCCAGCATCAGTGCTATGCAGCTTCAGCCGACGCTGAGGGAAAGAATCCAGCGGGAACAGGCTTTTGACGAGTTCGTTCGAGTCATGGAGGCCAAAGTCCGCGCCGGAGGCGTCGAGGGTTTTCAGCTAGGTGCCGATGGTGCCCTAGAGTTCAGAGGCAGGATCGTGGTCCCGAAAGTCGAGGCGTTGCAGAAGGAGATTTCATCAGAGGCTCATACCGCACCCTACTTAGCCCATCCCGGGAGCACGAAGATGTATCATGAACTGAAAGGGTCATTCTGGTAGCGCGGAATGAAGAAGGACGTCGCTGAGTTCGTCAGGAGATGTTTTACCTGTCAGCAAGTCAAAGCCGAACATCATAGTCCGATCGGCCTCCGACAACCACTGCCGATTCCACGATGGAAGTGGGAGGAAGTCACGATGGATTTCGTTACGGGATTACCGAGGTCGTCTGAACATCACGACGCCATCTGGGTCGTGGTCGACAGATTGACTAAGGTCGCTCATTTCATACCTGTTTCGATGAAGATGTCTTTGGATAAGTTGGCTGGGATATATACCCGTGGGATCATCCGACTCCACGGAGTGCCCGTTACTATCGTATCAGACAGAGATCCCAGATTCGTCAGTAGATTCTGGTACAGTTTACACGAGGCGATAAGCACGAAGCTAGAGTTCAGTTCAGCCTACCATCCGGAGACAGATGGTCAGTCCGAGCGGACCATTCAGACGCTTGAGGATATGCTTCGCGCTTTGGTTATTGACAGGGGTGCTAAGTGGGAGTCGTTGTTTCCGTATGCTGAGTTCGCGTACAACAACAGCTATCACTCTTCTATTCAGATGGCTCCTTACGAGGCACTTTATGGCCGTAAGTGCCGTTCCCCTCTTTATTGGGACGACGTCGGAGAGCGACGAGTACTCGGTCCAAAGTTGATCGAGGAGACGGCAGAGCAGGTTGAGTTGATCCGGCAGAGACTCAAGACAGCTCAGAGTCGACAGAAATCTTCAGCCGATCATCATCGACGAGACATTCAGTTCGAGGTTGGCGAGTCAGCTTTTCTCAAAGTTCGTCCTATTCGCGGAGTCGTTTGATTCAGGAAGAGAGGGAAGTTGTACCCTCGATTCATTGGTCCGTTCGAAGTTCTCGAGCGAGTAGGCGAAGTCGCGTATCGATTAGCCTTACCTCCCGAGCTATCAGGCATTTATAATGTTTTTCACGCATCTATGTTGCGTGAGTACGTGTGCGACTCCGATCATGTCATTCCTCATACAGATATTCAGGTTCAACCAGACTTATCGTACGAGGAGCTACCGGTTGCTATACTGGACCGTCAGGTTCGTCGGCTCTGGAAGCGAGATGTTCCCCTCGTGCGAATTCAGTGGGATCGCCACCGAGCTACTTGGGAGGCGGAGGCTGATATTCGAGCTTGTTTTCCAAATTTCCAGTTTTGATGTACATATTTTCAGATTCCATGTACATATTTCAGGTGTAATCAGTTATGTTTTGACTTTCCGAGGACGAAAATTTTTAAGGAGGGAGGATTGTAATATCCCGTCAGTTTATTAATATAAATCATGTTTTAGTTCCGATATAATAACGTTGTCGATTATTATTTTTGGAATTAATTATTTTCAGTCGGGATTACCCGAAATTATTTTCGACGTTCCATTAACGTTCGGAATAATTTTGGTAATTAAGTATTATGCTTAATAATTAATTAAGCATAAGCAAGTGATTAATTACTAATTAATCACAATTAAAGGATGATTAGTCGTGAGTTATGTAATTGTTCCCCAATCATTTTCCAAAAGCCGTAGCTTTATTTTCCCATTTGCCGTGAGGGATGCTATGGAAGGGAAATCTCACTTAATATTTAGCATGAGGTGGACACTGAGGTGATTAGTCACCCATAAAAACTACTAATTAGCTAGCAAATGTCATGCCATGGTAAGGCCACGTCTCCACTACATCATCCCTAATTTGATTTTTCCCATTCGGCTTTAGTATATATAGAGGACTTAGGGAAAATTTTGGCCACCTTACCTCAGCACCATATATGTGTTATTAAGTTAAGAGTGAGTTGTGAGATTGTGAGATTGTGAGAGTTCCTCCAAGCTTACCACTTACCGCACGGCAAGTTTGCACCCCACACCGCACGCGAGAGCGTCGTCACGCACGGAAGCCCGGCTACACCGATTAGTTGGTGCGTTCAGTTAGTGGTTCGAAGAGGTAACTTCAGATTACCTTAGAATACCCATGTTAAGGTCATGTTAATTCAGAATTATTCATGTTCATGGTGCGGCTTTAGGTCGTT